AAGTCCACTTATTATGCTGATAAGAGAAGGACGAAATTGTTGAGATAAGGTCGATTCAAATTTACGGTATATTTTATAAAAGCAGATATTGTTGGGTAGATGAAGTAGTTAGTAGTCGCTAACTGAAATGCTCCTTGTAACTGCGTCAYGTTAACGACAACTAAAAATAAACGAACAATCAATCGTTATAATTAGGGCCCGGATTTCAATGCAAAGTACATCTTTTTTTGATTGATCATAGACAATGCTTTCCAAGTATAAAATTCGTTTCATGTAACGAGTGTTTCAAAGCTAACATTTTATTTTGCGTTTTTATATATTAWGAGCATTATTGGGTCATTTTTATGGTTTTTAATGCATATTCGTTCAATATACTATACAAATTTAGTGTATTTATTATTTATGTTTAGAATGAATAATATTTCCCCAAAACATATGCGTGTAAACATCATAGCAGCATCAAGTTGATTTTTCTAATTTTTTTTTTCAATAAAGTAATAGATATATTTTAATAATAAATTCCAAATAAAAATAAAAAATAAATATAAACAGAATTTTTAAGGTCATTTTTTGTGGTAAAATGCATTTTTTAAGGACATTTTTGGCAATTTTTAGAGCATATTTGTATGGTTTTAAGTGCATTTAAATCCGGGCCCTAGTTATAATTAAACACGAGAGGCTTTTTTTTTTAAGAATAATAATATAATCATGGTTTTGCGCCAACCGTTAATAATCAATATATATATATACATATATATTTATTATTAATTATATATATTAATAATATTATTAATATTATTTTATATTATTATTAATTACATGTTTATTTATATATATATACATCGGTTGGACACAAAGATGAATAATTTCGCGATGCATTTTATGGTCCGTTAAATTACAGTAATAAAATTAATTCAACAAACCGTAGAGCGATACTTGATAACATGATATAAAACCAATTAATTTTAATGAAAACACGATTCACGCGTACTTAGCAGGGCGATTATAATATATAAATTGAATATTTATTTGAAACAATGTTATAATATATAATATTATACACAGGGCAAATAAGCATTTTATATTATGTATTAATAATAATAGTTAATTGTTGTCAATAATTATTTGATCAGTAATTATTACAGTTACCAAGACTGCACACATTTTGTCTACATTTAGGAACTTTATATTTTACATAAAAATGATTTATTTATTACATATATATTTTTATTTTGGTACATATATGATAGAAACGTCACAAATTACAATCAAACTCAACGACAACCGATCAAAATATAATTAACAACAAAAATTATTTCGTAATGTATATTTAATATTTATATCTATAAAACTTATGTTTTTAAAACTATTTTTATGATATGTATGACACATAAGGAAAATTTAAACTTTTTAATTTGGTCAAAAACTGAATCAGCCTAAAAGGTTTCGTCCTATATATGTATAGTGATCTAATGTAAGTACCTAGCAAAGTTCGTTTTCTCTAAGAATAAATAATGAATAATACATATTTTTAAATTGAGAGAAAATATTTGAAATTGTTCATCAGATTATGATGTAAAAACTCTATAAGTACCGTTTTGAACAAATAAGATGAAATCTTAAGTGAAAAKAATATTTATTTTTCTTAGGTGTCTATTTGGATAATTTTTAAAATAAAATACTGAATAATAGTAATAAGTTATTACTAATAACAGTTTTTCTAACTTTTGGAAAAATCATGTACATCATAACACGTATATAAGTT